AACAAACCATTCATTTTTGTCATAATCAAGGCTGAGTCATTAATTTTCAAAATCCTCCTCCCCACCCCGAATATCAAATGGTCGTCCCCTAAATGGTTTCTGTAATACGTCCACCCAACATCGTCTTTTATTAAGATTAAACTGTCTTTGGTTTCTATAGTTTTACATCTGCTGTCGGTCATACTGTTGATATAGCTTTTACATTTGTTGCCGTCTCTTATACGTATACTCTAAAACTCCTTTTGATGAAACTTAACTGTATTGATTTATTTTGTCGCTGGGTCACTACCTGATAAAGGTTTACCCGATATTTTCTTTTGTTCATATTGAAATGTCTGTTGTCTTCCAGATCCCAATCATTGTTACACTAACCTCTTATGTTTTTGGATTGCTCACGGAACTATAAACAACAGTCATGCAAAAAATAAGAGGTTTTAAAATAACTACATGTAGCTGTAAAACAAGGTTTGAGCCACCATTTGCTATAGCTATGGAAGATGTACCTGTACCAAGTCGGAGATATAACAGTTGTTTTTCATTGTTCCGTTGGTTAATACAGTCTAACAGTATTTCTGTTGATAAATTTTTCATATTTATTTTTATTTATTTCTTAAATGGGTAACTATCTTATATATAAAAATGAGTATAATTACAAATGAGACAAATCATTTTGTCACGTTATATTGTCTTTAAATTGATTTTATCTTTTGGTTGTTATCTCGTATACGAATACCGGAATATTTTCAATATAAATGTAACTGTCTTTCGATTCATTTTGTCGACAGGTCGCTGTCACATATATGTATATGGATATCTAGCATCTTCTTAAATTCATATCAAACTGTCCTTTGCTTAATTTTATCGATAGTTTGCTGTCTAGTATACGTTGATACAACACCCTATTTATTAATATTAATTAAACAGACTTTTTGTTAATTTTGTCGTTCGGGTTTTGTCTCCTATAGGGGTAAATTCAGTAAATAATCTCCCATTGACTTTTATGCTTATCTATGTCTTGAATTAAATTTATACCTGATTTACTGTTAGAAATCAGAAGCTTTCATATATCATTCATTAAAGTACAAATGTAGCCCCATCTTTTGCAACAATAAAAATATAGGGTCATGCGGCATTTTTGGGCATTCACATGGCCTTGTTTACAAACACTGTAGATTCGCACTTAATTCCATCACTGACACCCATTACTTTTCAACCCTGTAGTAAAAAAAAAATTAGTGCATTCAGCGTTTACTCTAGTTTTGATCCATCTATCAACAAATATTACAAACATTATCTACCAATCAGAAGAGCACAGGACTTCAGTTTTATACAGAAAGCTCTCCCCCAAATGGGCGGTCCCTAATGACGTATATTTATTTACTGAATTTACCCCTATACGTATACCCGACAACTTTTGTCAAACATATTGAACTATTTTGTATCCTTTTGTTGATGGGTTCATGTCTCATATACATGAACGTTTATCCAACATTTTCATTGATTTATATTATACTGTATTTTGGTTTATCTTAACGACTATTCACTGATTCGTAAAATCTTGTTAATTTCATATTGAATTGTTTGGGTTTTTTTTTGTTAATGATGCAGATAGGTTGCTGTCTCATATAGATATGTCCGAATATTGTTTTATTCACCGTGCACATAATGATTAGAAAATGCACTTTATATCAGTAGAATGTCTCTTTATTGACAATCATACCATGCACATCTCTCTATTGACGATCATATCACATCCCCTTATTGACAATTATACCACATCTCCTCATTGACAATCACATTCCATCTCTTCATTGACAACCACACCACATCTCCTTATGGCAATCACGACCACGTCTCCTTATGACAATCATGACCACATCTCCTTATTGACAATCATATCATATTCCTTCATAGACAATCATACCACGTCTCTTTAATTACAATCATACCATGCATATCCCTTTATTGACGATCATGTAAAATCTCTTTATTGACAATCATACTACATCTCTTTATTTACAATCATACCACGTCCGTTTATGGACAATAATACCACATCTCTTTATTGACAATCTGTCCATGTACATCTCTTTATCAACAATCATGCATCTCCTTATTGGCAATCATACCACATCCCAATCATTGACAATCGTACAACACCCCTTTATTGACAATAATACCACATCCATGTATTGACAATCATACCACGTCTCTGTATTGACAATCATACCAAGCACATCTCTTTATTGACGATCATTTCACATCCCTTTTTTGGCAATAACTTACGATATCCCCTTATTGAAAATCATACCACGTATGGTTATTGACAATCATACAACATTTCTTTATTGACAATCATACCACATCTCCTTGTGGACAATAATACAACGCCTTTTATTCGTTTTGATTCTTTTTATTATTTTGACATTAATATATTACTGTATATGTATACGTTTATAACCGACATTCTCTTATGGTTGTGGCCTGTTATCTATTTCTTGCATTAATATATAATTCTCGTATCACACTGCACGGAGTGTGAAACGAAAAAGTGATACGAAAATCTGCGTTAATTTGATTGGCTTATCCAGTATCACAAGACGATATTACGGCATTTCAATTGGCTATTCGTTAGGTCATTGATAAATTTCAAAGGTTAAGACGATGTACATTTCGTCCATGGCAACGGACATATGTGGTTTCTTCAATAGTATACAAAACACTTACACATTTCACCTGACAATCTCCTTTTTGTCAAATTTTATTACATTCTGAAGCGTACAAAAAGTCTTAAAATGTCTGATGTTAAAGTTTGACACCAGAAAACGACATATGAAGTCATACAGGAATGTGCAAAATACTAGATCAACATTTCGCGGAATTTTTAATTTACACATAGAGAGTGTTAACCATAAAAGAAATAGGTTTAACAACTTGTGAAATTGGATATCGCTTGATATCAACTCTCGTTATTTAATTTAAATAGTAATAATAAACTCGCCGAATGCTCGTTTGTTATTATATTGAAATTAAATAACTCGAGTTGATATAAAGCGATATCCCATTCTCACTTGTTATGAAACCTATAATTTTCTTTTTTTGTATCGAATAGTCTTCATGTTAAATTTGTCCATGGCTTGTAATCACAAATAAGTGTACCCAATTTCTTTGTTTCTTCGTACTGAATTGTATTTTGATTTATTTTGTTCGTAGGGTTGTTGTCTCATAAACGTATATCAGACATCTTTCATTTATATTGTACTGTCTTTTGACTTAATTAATTGATGGGTTGCTGTCTCATATTTGTATACCCAACATCTTCTTTTATTCATATTGAACTGTCTTTTGGTAAATTTTGTTGATGGATAGCGGTTTCACATACATATACTTGATATCTTCTTTTATTGACATTGAACTGTCTTTTGCTTTATTTTGTCGATGCGTTGCTGTCTCATATATATGTATGTATACCCGATATTTTCTTTTATTGATATTGAAATGTCTTTTGGTTTATTTTGTTGATGGGTTTCTGTATCATAGAAGTCTAACAGATATCTTCTTTTGTTCAAATTGTTTTCTGTTTTGGATTTATTTTGTCGTTGGGATGTTATGTGTCTTAATGTTAGGTTTGTCAATGGATTGTTATCTCAAAAAAACATACCCGACACATCTTGTATTCATATTTATCTGTCTGTTGGTTAGTTTTTCGAAGAATTGCTGTCTCATATACGTATACCTGACATCTTCTTTCATTCATATTAACCTACTTAACTGTCTTTTTATTTTGTCGATCGGTTGCTGTCTCATATACGTATCCCCCTACAGTCTTTTTTATTGAAATTGAATCGTCCTAGGGTACCGTTTGTTGATCGGGAGCTGTCTTATTGATGTATACCCGACATCCACTTTTGTTTTTTGATTTATCCACAGTAGTTTATTTTTTCTGGGTATGCTATCTGTCAATGTCTTCACCTGAAGTAAAAATACTCGTATACGTTTTGTTAATATTTGATTTTCTATCTTGGAAAAAAAGTGTTTCTTTGCATTCATAATACTTTGGTTATCTTATTCTATCTGAGAAACAGGTGACCTTCTGCTGTTGTCTGTTCTATGGTCGGGTTGTTGTCTCTTTGACACATTCCCCATTTCCATTCTCAATTTTATACTATATGTCCTCAATTTTAGAACTCGTTCATACATTTTTGTATTATTCAAAATTAACAGTCAAGATGTGTTCTACAAGGATCACCAGTACTTCGCCTTTCATTTGATACCAAATTACCAAAATATATTCTACATAGTGTGATATTTACAACTATGCGTAGGAACTATTTTGTTTTAAATACTACTACTTTCCAGTATGTTCTTTTCGACAAGGACCGATTTTGTGGTGTTACATCTTATAAAGTCGATCCGAATTATTAATGCAAAAAATTCCGCTATAGCCGGCGCTAGAGGCCGTCTTAAACTAGCAGTGAGGTGATATTTTTTTTTTTTTGCTCCTTGTTGAAGACCTTACTGTGACTTTGAGATGAAGAAACGCAATAAAAGCGTTGTTCCTTTTATTTTTGTGTAATTGATTTTTGCTCTACATGTACTGATTTTGTGTGATGGATGGATGCCCCAAATCCTGTTTTTCTCTAAATTGAACCAATATTGTTTTTCAATCCAACAAAACTTTGGGATTCAGAGCAATCTTCTTATTTTAATCATTACGACTTTTCCATCAAAGATTTTATATTGATACCAAAAAGGAAATAATAACATATTTATAACTGTCTCAAAAAGAGAGACAAAAGATATAAAAAGGACATTCAAACTGATAAGTCGGAAATAAACTGACAACGAAATGGCAAAAATCGTAACACAACATAAAATACTAGTAATAAAAACTGGGCAACACGAACCCTGGAAAAAACCGCGGGTGATCTCAGGAGCTTTAGAACGGTAAGCAGATCATTAATTAATTAACATATTAATCAAATTTAAACAAAATCAGATCTGATTGAATTAAAATGATTAATTTAAAACAATGTTGGTAATCTAGATCAACAAAATGTTAAATAAGGTCAACTTAAATAAGGTAAGCCGGATTTAAAAAAAAGTCAACCTTCGTTTCTTATCATTTAACATCATACAAAAATGCTTCATCGGATTCATTTGCAACTAGCAATTCATTGGTAGATGTGTCATAATACAGAGCCTGTGGGTATCTCAGTCCATCTTCCTTTGATAAGAGTTGTCTGTAGCGTTGTCTATCAGGAGAGATGACGACCACATTGTCAGAACAACAACCCGCTACAAACACGTTACCATCATTGTCTACAGAGATACCTAGTGGATACAGCATGAACACTTGTATCACAGAACGTCCACAGTATGTTACCATGGTAATCACAACAGGTTACACTGTCATTGTCGCTGTTTGTGTAGAATAGTTTGTCACCGAATTTTGTAACGTACGAATATTCTGTGAGTTTGGTATTGGTAATATTAGTAACGGTTTCGTCACACAGACTGATCATCTGTATTCCTTTCTCCCTGGCACAATAAATCAAATGTCCATCATTGTATACTACTCCACCATTGTATGAATTTACTTTTATCGATTTCTTCAGTTTTTGCTTCTTTAAGTCGATTATACTAATCTGATTTGAATTGCTGGATGTTACAGCAATAGAATCATTACCAATAAATACCACATCAAACGTTTGACGAATTGTCTTTATTTCGAAATCTTTTGATCCGTCTGATTTGAGTACTCTTATTCTATCGTCAAAAGAAGAGGAGAATACCATCATATCACCAGGAAGTAGTGAACAACCATATACCTCTGACAACTCTGTATTGATACGTTTCTGTAATGTTAGACTCAGATTTTTGATATTTCTGGTTGGAAGAGCTACCATAATCTGGGATTGTCTGTCCTTCCGTTTCTGAATGGAAAAATCACATTGATCAGAACTGACATTAATTTCTCCAAACTTTTGTACGCTGGCTGTTATTTGCTGTAAAGACTTGTTAATTTGGCATGAAATATTGATTTGATTTGTGGTGTCGCTTGTGGTAATCGATTGAATGAATTTTTCTTCGCCTGCAATATCTTTTTCGATATTTTTAATGGTTAAAAATGTTTGAAGTTCGGAGGCATGCTGTTTAATACTAGCAATGTTTTCTTGTACTTCAGTGATCTCTTTTTCCTTCGTTTTCAGAGTAGTCAACAATTTTTCTATTTTGCTTTTTTCTTTTTGTTCAACTCTCATTAATTCTTTAATCAAGTCATCCTGAAGTTTATCAAGGTGGTGATTTACATTTATCCTGGTTTGTTTTATTTCTGCTACAATTTCTCTTTTCTTGTTTTCTAGCAATGTTAAATTTTCTTTCCGGTTAGTATTGAGTCGTTTAATATTCTCGATGACTTCCAGCAGGATTTGTTCGAATTCGTAAAAGGCGTTTGAAGTTTTGATGTTCTTTGTGAGTTCATTTATGTCGGTTAAACTTTTACAATCGTTGTGAGATTTCACACATTTCTTACAGCATGGACAATCGTGTTTTCTACAGAAAAGTTCGAATTTCTCAATATGAAGTTTGCAGGTCTGAGCGATTTGGAGGACTTCGGTCGGTAGCTTTTTGTATTCGGTGATAAAAACGGTTTCATGACTTTTTGATGCCTTGGAAACCGCGTGATGATTCTTACACTCTCCACATAGTCCTTCGTCACATTCGGAACACCAGACTACTGACTGTTTGGTAATCTGAAGATTTTCACAAACACCACAAATACTCCAATTGGTGGCCACAATCCTATAATAGATTGCATGTACTTGAGTGAATACTTTATCATATTCAAATCGTCATCTGAAAATGATCACTATACCAAGAGATTCTCGTGTAATTGACAGTTTGACATTTGTCTACTTCTCAACGAGCGGCAAATATTAGTATTCCATGGGTGTTCAAGACGAGCACAAATTAAACAATATTGGAAAAAGTAGGTTCTGTAATGTCGATGGACAGGGATTACCAGCCAATAATCGAATTTCTATTTGAAAGATAGGGTTACACCACGACGAGGTAGAAATTAAGTCTCGCAACAGGTCACCTACAGACCTCTCAACAATTGATGCTATGGTTCTTTAGCCTGCCCAGGACATGACATGATCTAATTGTATTTAACTTCCCTATTACGATCGGACGTGGATTTCTATTTATACATTCCGCACGGATTTCCCCCCTGAACACGGATCTTACTGCCGGGTGAAGAATAAAGGCAACAGTAGTATACCGCTATTCGAAATTCATAAATCGATTGAGAAAAAAAACCAAATCCGGGTTACAAACTAAAACTGAGGGAAAGACATCAAATATAAGAGGAGAACAACGACACAACAGAAAAACAACACTAAAATGCAACACACACAGAAACGAATTATAATATAACAATGGCCATTTTCCTGACTTGGTACAGGACATTTTAAGAAAACAATGGTGGGTTGAACCTGGTTTTGTGGCTAGCCAAACCTCTCGCTTTTATGGCAATGTTAAATATAACATTAAAATGACAAGACCTACATGACAAGACTACAATACAAATAAATGGGAGAACATACAGGACAGAGACACACACAAATAATAGCAATCAAAATACTGGTGACCATATCACTATACAAAACAGTTGGTGCAAGTGTAAAACACTATACTTAAATTTTGAAGTAAGGGTCGAGTGTCATTGCGACGGGCGTAAAACCTCGGGTACGTAAATTCAAGCGTTTTTGTTTTTGTATTTTAGCAAAACTACATGTATTGAAATAAATAGAAAAAAAAACGAGCTGAAAATTAATGTCTCGCATAATTTACTGATAATGATTGAATTTATACTGAAAGTCTTTTAGATTAATGTTAAATAGAAGTATCATACAAATTTAAAATGATCGATAATCAAAGTAAATGAGGTCATGGTCTGCAATTGTTGTTGATGATGATGATGATGATGATGATTGATTTATTTTAAAATCCGGGGGGAAATATTACACGCACCCTGCCCTGTATTAGACCGACATTAGGAAGATTTTTACGGGCTAAAGTTAAAAACAAAAACGGCTTAATGTAAGACCTTACTCTCTGCAGACGCGATATTCTGTTTCTGATAACACTTCTTATTGTCGCATGCTTAGCAAATTAGCGGCAAATATCACTTTTTTAAGTCTTTGAGAATCGTGCATAAAAGTAAAACACGACGGCCACAGTCTCTTTTAATTTAGAATGTAAAATTAAATGTTCGCAGGAACAACAATCATCTATTGTATCACTTCACACTTGTCGTACTTTGAATATAATTATACAAGTAACACAAATTTAGAAAACAGATATGTTTAGATTCATATTTCGAAAAAAAAAACTATACTTCTAAACAATTACAATAAATACAGTTTTGTAATAAAGAAATAAACCATAAGGTTCAATTTTCAATCGAAAAAACCTCGAATGTAAAATTTATTTCTGCAATTTATATGTTGCTAAACTTTATTTACTTAATACACATGTTAACTACAACGTTAGATTTCATGTGATCTTTAATAACTTATAAATATTATCGTTAACTAAACAAAGAAAATAAAGATAAAAGTCAATCCAAAATTGAAGGGACCAATAAAAAAATTGAAATAGGCAACATTGGATAATAAAGTAAAATATTCAACGTGTTCGAACATATCTCATAAAAGAATTAAAACGAAAGTTGAACAATATAAAATAAAAAAGTAAACAGACTCTACATTATTTAGATAAATTGTGTGTGTGTTTGTGTCTATGTGGATGTCTGTGTAAATTGTGACTGTGTTATACAAAGAAACAATGATACAAATTACATACCTAAATTAGTCTTGTAAATAGAACATTTCTTTGGAAAAGGAAGGTAAATGGTCACATGATTTAATGTTTGTAAGCCAGGAGACATAATTCTATAAATAAATTGAATATTCGTGTATGTATATACATGATATACTAGTGCACAAACAAACTCTCACACAGCTGATTAACTTGGTTTCCTTTAATATTCATATCATGATTTTATATAAATTTGTTTATCAGATGATTTAAAACAGCTTTTTTATATCAATTAAGTTAATTTTTTCATACTAAAAATAGAGATGAGGTGTCTGAATCTGTAGAGGTCCTTCATTTCTATACTCGCAAGTTCTGATGCCATTTTTCTTCATTCTTTATTTTTTAGGCTCACTATTTCCTATTCTGTATATATTTTTGTAGACAATTTTTCTCTGTTCCTTATTTTATGCCCTATTTTCTACCAATTCACCCTAGTCTCGACTATGTTTTCTTTCCTTTTCGTATTATGAATCTATATTTGTTTTTTATCTGACGATTTTAAACAGCTATTTTGTTATTAAGATAGTGAACATTACACACACACACACACACACACATATATATATATAATATATGGCGATGAAAAACCGTTTCGATTCCTAACATCACTGAAGAGACATAAATTGTCGAAATCCAGATATGGTGTACAAAAACCTTTGCACCTTTTGTTTGCGGTATGTCATCTTTTCCGCAAGTTTATTGTTTTCTGTTTAGTTTTAAATTTATAATTAAGATCCATTTATTACATCGGTGATCCGTTTATTTGGCAATCGCCAATGGCAGTCAGCAGGGTTTAAGATCATTTGTTGTTCGACCTGTTAGTCAAATGCGTTTTGTTAAAATATACTTTTTCACCTTTTTGGTCTTTTGGAAAATGTGGTTTGTGCTGTATTTAGACCCCTCTCACTAGAAAATTTGTTTTGCCTGCACACGTATAAAAATTGCAGTTTTTATCCAACGCAATCATAGGTTTGAACGTTGTTTTCAATTTAGACTTGTTTATATTTTTTCGTTTGGGCTTTTATTATATTTGCCTTCAGGTTTATATGATCTGTTCATCCTATTTTGACTCCTCAAAATTCAAGAGTCTATTCTAAATTGAGGTAAATTGTATGGCTTTCCAAATACTGTTTCGATTCCTAGCATCACTGAAGAGATATAAATTGTCCAAATCCGGATATGGTGTACAAAAACCTTTGCACATTTTGTCTGCGGTATATCATCTTTTCCGCAAGTTTATTGTTTTCGGTTTAGTATTAAATTTATAATTGAGATCTATTTATTACATCGGTGATCCGTTTATTTGGCAATCGCCAATGGCAGTCAGCAGGGTTTAAGAACAATTGTTGTTCGACCTGTAAGTCAAATGCGTTTTGTTAAAATATACTTTTTCACTTTTTTAGTCTTTTGGAAAATGTTGTTTGTGCTGTATTTAGCCCCCTCTAACAAGAAATTTGTTTTGCATGCACACGTATAAAAATTGCGGTTTTTATCCAACGCAATCAAAGGTTTGAACGTTGTTTTCAATTTAGACTTGCTTATATTTTTTCGTTTGGGCTTGTATTATATTTGCTTTCGGGTTTATATGATCCGTTCATCCTATTTTGACTACTCAAAATTCTAGAGTCTATCCTAAATTGAGGTAAATTGAAAGGCTTTCCAATTACCGTTTCGATTCCTAACATCACTGAATAGACATAAATTGTCGAAATCCGGATATGGTGTACAAAAACCTTTGCACCTTTTGTTTGCGGTATATCATCTTTTCCGCAAGTTTATTGTTTTCTGTTTAGTATTAAATTTATAATTAAGATCCATTTATTGCATCGGTGATCCGTTTATTTGGCAATCGCCAATGGCAGTTAGCAGGGTTTAAGAACATGTGTTGTTCGACCTGTTAGTCAAATGCGTTTTGTTAAAATATACCTTTTCACCTTTTTGGTCTTTTGGAAAATGTTGTTTGTGCTGTATTTAGACCCCTCTAACAAGAAATTTGTTTTGCATGCACACGTATAAAAATTGCGGTTTTTATCCAACGCAATCATAGGTTTGAACGTTGTTTTCAATTTAGACTTGTTTATATTTTTTCGTTTGGGCTTGTATTATATTTGCCTTCGGGTTTATATGATCCGTTCATCCTATTTTGACTCATCAAAATTCAAGAGTCTATCCTAAATTGAGGTAAATTGTATGGCTTTCCAAATACCGTTTCGATTCCTAACATCACTGAAGAGATATAAATTGTCGAAATCCGTATATGGTGTACAAAAACCTTTGCACCTTTTGTTTGCGGTATATTATCTTTCTGCAAGTTTATTGTTTTCTGTTTAGTATTAAATTTATAATTTAGATCCATTTATTACATTGGTGATCCGTTTATTTGGCAATCGCCAATGGCAGTCAGCAGGTTTTAAGAACATTTGTTGTTCGACCTGTTAGTCAAATGCGTTTTGTTAAAATATACCTTTTCACCTTTTTAGTATTTTGGAAAATGTTGTTTGTGCTGTATTAATACCCCTCTAACAAGAAATTTGTTTTGCATGCACACGTATCAAAATTGAGGTTTTTATCGAACGCAATCAAAGGTTTGAACGTTGTTTTCAATTTAGACTTGTTTATATTTTTTCGTTTGGGCTTGTATTATATTTGCCTTCGGATTTATATGATCCGTTCATCCTATTTTGACTCTTTCAAAATTCAAGAGTCTATCCTAAATTGAGGTAAATTATATGGCCTTCCAATTACCGTTTCGATTCCTAACATCACTGAAGAGACATTAATTGTCGAAATCCGGATATGGTGTACAAATTTTTGCACCTCATGTTTGCGGTATACCATCTTTTCCGCAAGTTTATTGTTTTCTGTTTGGTAATAAATTAATGATCAGATCTATTTTGTTACATCTTGTGATCCGTTTATTTGGCAATCGCCAATGGCAGTCAGCAGGGTTTAAGAACATCAGTTGTTCGACCTGCTGGTCAAATGCGTTTGATTAAAATACACTTTTTCACTCATTTGGTCTTTTGGAAAATGTTTGTACTGTAGTTAGACCCCTCTACCAAGAAATTTGTTTTGCATGCACACGTATAAAAATTGCAGTTTTTATCCAACGCAATCATAGGTTTGAACGTTGTTTTCAATTTAGACTTGTTTATATTTTTTCGTTTGGGCTTGTATTATATTTGTCTTCGGATTTATATGATTCGTTCATCCTATTTTGACTCATCAAAATTCAAGAGTCTATCCTAAATTGAGGTAAATTGAAAGGCTTTCCAATTACCGTTTCGATTCCTAACATCACTGAAGAGACATAAATTGTCGAAATCCGGATATGGTGTACAAAAACCTTTGCACCTTTTGTTTGCGGTATATCATCTTTCCGCAAGTTTATTGTTTTCTGTTTAGTATTAAATTTATAATTAAGATCCATTTATTGCATCGGTGATCCGTTTATTTGGCAATCGCCAATGGCAGTTAGCAGGGTTTATGAACATTTGTTGTTCGACCTGTTAGTCAAATGTGTTTTGTTAAAATATACTTTTTCACTTTTTGGTCTTTTGGAAAATGTTGTTTGTGCTGTATTTAGACCCCTCTAACAAGAAATTTGTTTTGCATGCACACGTATAAAAATTGCGGTTTTTATCCAACGCAATTATAGGTTTGAACGTTGTTTTCAATTTAGACTTGTTTATATTTTTTCGTTTGGGCTTGTATTATATTTGCCTTCGGGTTTATATGATCCGTTCATCCTATTTTGACTCATCAAAATTCAAGAGTCTATTCTAAATTGAGGTAAATTGTATGGCTTTCCAAATACCGTTTCGATTCCTAACATCACTGAAGAGACATAAATTGTCGAAATCCGGATATGGTGTACAAAATCTTTGCACCTTTTGTTTTACGGTATATCATCTTTCCGCAAGTTTATTGTTTTCTGTTTAGTATTAGATTTATAACTAAGATCCATTTATGACATTGGTGATCCGTTTATTTGGCAATCGCCAATGGCAGTCAGCAGGGTTTAAGAACATTTGTTGTTCGACCTGTTAGTCAAATGCGTTTTGTTAAAATATACCTTTTCACCTTTTTAGTATTTTGGAAAATGTTGTTTGTGCTGTATTAATACCCCTCTAACAAGATATTTGTTTTGCATGCACACGTATCAAAATTGCGGTTTTTATCGAACGCAATCAAAGGTTTGAACGTTGTTTTCAATTTAGACTTGTTTATATTTTTTCGTTTGGGCTTGTATTATATTTGCCTTCGGATTTATATGATCCGTTCATCCTATTTTGACTCTTTCAAAATTCAAGAGTCTATCCTAAATTGAGGTAAATTATATGGCCTTCCAATTACCGTTTCGATTCCTAACATCACTGAAGAGACATTAATTGTCGAAATCCGGATATGGTGTACAAATTTTTGCACCTCATGTTTGCGGTATACCATCTTTTCCGCAAGTTTATTGTTTTCTGTTTGGTAATAAATTAATGATCAGATCTATTTTGTTACATCTTGTGATCCGTTTATTTGGCAATCGCCAATGGCAGTCAGCAGGGTTTAAGAACATCAGTTGTTCGACCTGCTGGTCAAATGCGTTTGATTAAAATACACTTTTTCACTCATTTGGTCTTTTGGAAAATGTTTGTACTGTAG